CTCACAGAGTAAGTGGTGGCTCTGCCAGTCATTTCTGGACACTGCAGATTGTGAAGCCCAGAGACGGGTGCGGCTCAGGGTAGGAGGCTCTGCTCTAAATACCAGAGGCAGAAGTGGACCCGGTTTCCACTTTCAAATAAGCAAAGAACTTTCAACCCAGCTTACAACTCACTGCTCAGGTCCAGAGTGGTTGCACACCCTGCCTGAGGTCACACAGCAAGCAGCTCCCACATCCTCACCCAGCCCTGGCCCACCTTGCAGCACAGACACCGCATCTGCAGCTGAGAGGGGCCGATCCTCCCTGTACCAGGTGAGCTCTGGGGGTGGGATTGCGTTGGTGTCACAGTACAGGTAGGCTGGGCTGTTCTCCACGACCTGTCTATATTCCGTCACCCCACCCCGGGCTTCTTCCTCCTGGGACAGCATCTCAAAGGCTGCACCGGCATCACCCACCTTCTGAAACATGGGGGGCACTGGGTGGGGGAGACAAAGCCATTAGGAGCTGTTAGGAGACAGGGCAGGGGTGTTCCTCTGCTGGGATAGAGATTCCCATCCCCTCCTCCTCAGGTACAGAAATCTGTAGTCCGAGCCATTCCCTTAGGGGTCACAGCATTTCTTAAAGTCACTTGCTCCTTCAACTAGGATTTATTAGTCAACTACGACACACTGGGCACCAGGATAAAGCTCCTGTCCTGCAGAGCTCATGGTTACTGCACTCTGAAGTTTCCTTGTAATGTGGAAATATGTTTTCTTGGGGAAGTCAGATACTAAGCTTTAGCCTAGGGGCATAATGGCACAAAGTCATCAGCTTATGGAATTGGGAGGGGCCTCAGGTCACCTCCTTCAATCACCTGCATTTTATAAAGGGTGAAACTAAGGTTCAGAGGGGCAGTGGCCTTCCCAAGTCACATAGCTGGTTAAGGCCCAAGTCTGGGGACCAGAATGACAGAGATGAGAAAGGGCATGAGCAGCCTGGAGCAGGGGCTCCTCGTGCCAGCCCACTCCAGAAGCATGGCCAGCTCTGAGCAGCCCTCACTGCTCTGCTTGGTTGTTAACCTCCCCCTCCCTCTCCCTGCCTGCCAGTCTTCCTCCCTCCCTCCCTCCCTGCTATCTTCCTCCTTCCCAGCCTTCCTCCTTCCCAGCCT